TTGCCACCTCAAGATTTAATTATTCAACTATTTATTCAAGTCTGATCGCTACCCCAGTATCCTTCCAATAAACCTCCTCCCCTTTTGTTTCATCTGGTTTGAGTTGGGTTTCTGCCATTTACAACCAAGAGGGTCCTGATTCATATAATATTTAAAAAATATATATATAATTTTTTTTTGGTGAGGAAGATTGGCCCTGACTTCTCATCTGTTGCCAATCTTCGTCTTTTTGCTTGAGGAAGATTTGTCACTGAGCTAACACCTGTGCCCATCTTCCTCTATTTTGTATGTGGGATGCTGCCACAACATGGCTTGATGAGCAGTATGTAGGTCCTCGCCCAGGATCCAAACCCACAAACCCGGGGCTGCCGAAGTGGAGCATGCGAACCTAACCACTATGCCACTGGGCCGGCCCTAAGCTATATTTTGAAATCCTTGTAGCAAAGACCTGTAAAATGATAATCCCTATATATGGCATGCCATATATATCATATTATCATATCTGGCCACTCATCTTAGCCCAAAAAAAGATACAGAAGAAAAATTTTGTTGCCAAAACTCAAAACAGTGATTTCTTTATCTTACATGACAAATGCGTACAGAATGCTTATTTTGAGCAAGGCATGGTGCTAAAAATTTTGCTCGTTTGCTCCTCCCAACAATCCTCTGAGCTAGGTCCTATTATTATCTCCGATGAGGAAACCAAAGCCCAGAGAGGTGGAGTAATTTGCCCCGGGTCACAGAGTGAGTGGGTAGTGAAACTGGAAGGAATTCTTCAACTTTATCAGGCATCAGAACGACTGGGGTGTGTGTTAAAAATGCAGATTCCTGGGACCTATTAATTCAGAAACAGACCAAGAAAAGGTAAGATTACTCTTTAGATTTTTTTTACATTTGCCAAATATTCTTATCTCTCATCTGCAGCCTTTAGTGATTTTAAATTTGGTTGGGAGTACGTTTCATCTTTGATTTTGTAATAGAATGAGATTCTGCCACATGTGGATCTGATATTTAAATTACACTGACCTTGCTTCAATAAATAATACCAAATATATACCCTTCAGGCATTCACGAGAGATCTTAATCTGGAACTGACTGCCACCCAGCTCATTGCAAAGGAATTGTGGAAACAGACATTTGAGAAAGACTTGACCAAGGAACACGCTTACGATTTAATCCTTTGGCTTTTCTTATTCTGTCACTCAAACAAAATAAATCCACCGCAAATCCGTGCTTGGACTTTGTTAGTTTGGTTCTCTGTGGAAATGCCTTGAGCATCTCTCCCCATTAACTAGCTCCCATTTGAAGCTCAGCTGACAGCAGTCTGGACACGGCCCCCACCAGGCTTCTGAAGCCGCTGACACTGAGGTCACCTGCAGCCACCTGGAGACCGTATGATTATCAGATTCAGGAGGCGTTCAGAGCCAGTCCAGCTCAGTCTAAATCCTGCTTCTGTCATCTCCTGGCTCCAGGACCTTGCTGAACCCCTCTATGCTACTTATTGTTCTTATCTATAAAATGGGGATCAGTAGGGTACCAACATCCCGGGGTAACTGTGTGGAATGAGTGAGGTGACGCTCATCAGCTGATTAGAACAGCGCACACAGTAGGTGTTCAACAAATGCTATTCGCCAGAGTATAAGCTCCATCAAGGGCAGGCTCAATGTTTGGCTCATGACCGTGTCCTCCGTGCCTGACATACAGTAGGTACTCAGATATAAATGGAACGAACCATTAACTCCCAATCCAATAGCATTTCAGGTCCTTTCTCATTGGACCCAACTGTGACACATGATCCCTCATAGAGTGACCTCATGCCAGGCAGTGTTCTAAGCACTTTACAAATATTAACTCATTTAACCCTATAACAATCCTATGAGACAGGTACAATTATTGGGTGCATCTAATACTTGATGAAAATGAGGAACAGAGATATTTAGTAATTTGCCCAAGCTTACGCAGCCAGCAAGAGCAGAGCTAGGACTGAAACCCAGGCAGTCTGGTTTCACAGTCTATCCTTTAACCTGTGTTTGCCGCTAGTCATTTCTTCCTTGTTGAAACTCTCTTCCATTGGCTTCCATGGAAACATCCCCTTTTAAGCTCTCGGACTCCCCTCCACAGGTTCTCTTCTTTCTGCTCATCACTGAAGCAGAGAAGACATTTCCCAGAGCTCTGTCAAGGTCAAGGCCTTTATTTACTTTACTTGCTCCCGAGTCGATGGCTTCTATTTCCATCCTACTCTGATGATTCTCAAATCCATACCTCTGTTCCAGACACCCTTCCTAAGGCTCAAACTTCTGTGTCCACTTGCTCACTGGACCACACTCACATGCAACATATGCAAAATAATAAAGGTACTATTTTGCCCATCAAAGATGCCTTTTTTCCATTTAATTCTCTCTCTTAGGAAATCGTACCACCACGCACCCATCACTGAAGCCAGCAATCTAAGACGCATCCATAACTCAGCTCCCTCCTTTGCCCTCCATGTGCATCAGCACCCATGTCTATTGAGGGTGCCTTCCAACCATCGCTGAATTCTCACAAGAATGTCCTTGATTTTAATTCCCTTCCCCTGACGATAGCTTCCTAACTGGCTGTCTGGCCTCTAATCTGTGCAGCTTCAATCCATCTCCCTCATTGTTACCAGAGTTACTGAAAGAAGAAACTCATGACATCACCTTTCTCTTCATGGAAGATTCAAACTCTTCCATGATGCCCTTTTCCTGGAGAGGAATACCTGAATTCCTTGATGTGATATGCAAAGGCTTTCACTATCTGCTCCTCTCCCGCCTCTGGTTTCATCACCGTCCCCTCTCTCATGGGAAAACCACCTGCTCTAGCAATCCGCAGCTCCTTGCAGGTCCTCTGGAGAGTTCTGTGCTCTCACAAAGCTGTGCTTTTTCAGAATCTCTCTCTGAAGTGCCCTTTCCCAGCTGTCTCCCTGATCACTCTTCCTAATCCTTCAAAAATCACATCTTCAGAAAAGTATCAAACAAATGCGCAACAAAAAAGAGGCAATCACTTCGATTTTAGCTCCCCTTTCACCATCATGCACTTGCCCGGGCACAATTATTTGTTCCATTGTATAAACTACTTATGTGTCTTTTACTCTACTAATCATAATGAATACATATTTATTTAAATATATTATAAACTCATTTAAAAAATAAATTTACTTTAAATAAAGTCATCTTTTTTGTTCAAATTTATTGCAGTTTTTATGTTAAATCAAGGAATCAAGGGAAAAACCCACAATCTTATCCCCAAATCAAACTAATATTTTATTTGTCCACCTTATATTTTGACCTTTATCCGTGTGCAGATCCTGTTTCCTATATTGATTGGCAGATGCTCCCTAGAATTTTATATTCCACCTCTTCTGTTGACAAGGTCACCCTCGTTTTTCTAGTTTGCTTCCATTTCTCTGGTTTCTGACTTACCTCCTCTCCCTCTTGTCCTTTCCACTAGGAAACCAGTGACGACAGTTTGGTGTGTTATCTTTCCACACCTTTCTCCTGTTTAAACAGTTATATCTGGGGAGGGGGAAGGGGGTGCTGTCATTTTTGTTTTACAAAAATGAGAATACATAACACATGTGTCTTTTCCTCTTGCTTTTCTCATTCAACAATGCATAGAAGTCTCTTCATGCTAATAAACATAGCTCTACCCCGTTCTTTCAGCTGCCTCATATCACAAGTGATGGAGATGCCACCATTTGCTCTGCCATTCCTGCACTGAAGGGCATTTGGGTCCTTTCTGCTTCTCTCCTGCCACACGCAGGGCTGTACCAAGCAGCCTCAAACATACACAGCCTTGTACACTAGTGCTTTTGTTTCTAGGGGGTTTAGCCCCTCAGATGGGAACTGTTTCTAGAAGGTAGGTTGGAGCATGATTTATAAATAAATAAAAGCACACAGCATAGCGCCATACATTCAGGGAAGTTCACTAAAGGATGATAATGAGAAGGATATTTGGCTATGCGGTTACCTAGCAGCCTGTTGATGGGAAAAGATATGTTTCCCAGCAACTAGCAAGTATATATCTTCAAATGAGAATTCGTAAGGAAACTACAAAAGACAGAACCTGGCCCATAGCAACTGAGAACCGTTGCCGCAAAGCCTGTTTTCTGTTGTATTTGCTAGTCCATTTTAGACACGTAGAGAACCAGGGCTACCTGAAGCCTTCTCCGTGGACACTGAGTCCCTGACCTGCGCAGCTAATCAAACTGCAATACGCTTTCAAGAAACCCCAGCTTTGATACATCTCACCAGTTGCATTGTCTTGAAGCCGGTGACTTGAGAGTTACGAAGGTGTCTATTTAAGGCAGTGTGTGTGACAGAGCATTATCTTAGGAGTCAGAACAGTAATCCTTGGCTCTGCCAACTTGTCAGCCTCGTGGCGCTTTGAGCAAGCCTCAAAATCCCCATATAAAAAATAAAGCTAATAATACTCACGCTGCCTCCTTTGCAGTATTGTAGTGGGGAACAAACGGAATTATGTAAATGAAAGCGCTCTGAGAGAGCTATACACATATTAGCATTGTTCACATTACTCTGACTTTTCAGTAGACAATGTACCGTGTATGGCGGCACCTTTCCTGTTCTTTGTATCGCCAGGAAAGAACATATTACCACTTAAAAGAAGATTGATTTTGTAGCAGTCATGAAGTGCACGGTGAAAGTACAGAACAATCAGTATAAAAGTAATAGACTAGACGTCAGCCACGGACTCTATCTGCAGATATCCTTCAACGGACTTCTAGAACAGTGAAAATATTTACAGAGCTGCCCCAGGGTTTTTAATGTTTCACAGATAAATGAGAATAAAATAACAGAGGAGGATTTTTCTCCCCTCTTGCCCTTAAGTTTCTATTTTTAACTCCTATACAGTATCAGATGTAATATCCTGGTGTTCTTTCCCCAGCCCTGGCTCCTGCCCATAAAATACACACATGCTGCAAGAATCCAGCTACGTGGGGGAAGGCTTCCTGCCCAGTTACAGTTATTCTTACTGGGACTAAAACACTGAGAAATTGGTACCTCTCTAGATCAATACTCCACACGTGTTATGGATGGACATGTCTATGGATGGAGTAGCAGAAAGCACCTAATGGACACGAGGGATCGCTCGGGACAGAAACGTGGCGTACCTGCAGGGTTCCCTCTTTGGCAGGACAGAATGTTGGTATAAGGAGTTGCAGAAATCCCAGTGCCAGTTGAAGTTTGGCAGTTGGTTCCTTCCAGCTGTTCTTAAAGGTATTGTCTCCGCAGGGATTAAAAGGGGCTCAGAGTGATGGCTTATGATTTTTACGTTTAGCTGTGTTTTGATTCTTCCCTTTGGAAAATAGAGCAAATGGGATGTCTATCCAGTAGTAAAGGCTTTATGGAGCTCTGTAGAGTTTGATCTCAATGATTGCAACCATCAATAGCTGGTAAAATCAGTGGGGAAAAGTCATGACGTGTGAAGCATACAACTGGATTAACTGATTATTATTACGAATGTCTTACCTCTCATCTGGTTCTGGTGCCATCAGGTAGACAACCCCAGAGAAACAGTGGTGGAGATTCTCAGAGTGATTTCAAGTTTCAGACTGTTTCTAGGTCTCTAGAAGTCCTCATTTGGGGGCTTGCTTATCATGCTCTTAAGTGTGAAGAAAAAGGAGAAAGAGAAAAAACTTTTGAGATTGAAGCTGCCTTTATTTAAAATCCTTTTTCAGTCTAGATCCTTCTTTGAAAAGGGAGACTTGCTGTTGATCATTTTCCATTCCTTTAAAGGGTTAAATGTACTAAAATTTAAAATGTGTAACAAGTAACATGGAAGGGCAGTAAATAAAAATATTAGGACATACTCCATGTTCTTCTCCCTTTACCGAGACGTGGGGAAAAATGTGATCTTTTTTAACTGTCTTTTCTTTTAGAGAAAACTGAATTTACAAAATAGAGGGTAGGAGTGATTATACACGTTATACAAGGCTCTCTGACTTTCAAAGGATCATATAGATTTCACGGAAAAAGCCGAGTTTCTTAACATATAGAAATCATAGTGCATATTGTTCAATATACAGGAAATTGTATTGTCAGGAACTCATCTCCTGCACAGAGCAAAATACTCCTATCTCATAAACAGAATGAAAATTCGAGTGATATCTCTTAATTTATATTATCTATATAACACAATATGAAGTGCAGAATTAGCAATGACTAACGGAAGGAGGACTGTTAATTATCTCATAGTTTTTTCATAAATCAGAGAAGAAATATTTTTCTCTTGAATTATCTAGAATAGGGGCCAACAGCCTATAAAATGAGTACCAAGTAAGCAACTTGAATTCACCCTGTACTGTGTGGATCTTGACAAGGGCAACCTGAAGGAGGGAATTGAGTGTTAATACTGGGCTTTGGGACATCAAACATACACAGTGAGAAAACTCTCACTATACTAGAATTTTTTAAAGTTTATGATCAAAATGGAAATTTTTGGTTGTTCCAAAGCTCTTTATTAATCTTTCTTATTAATACAAATGCATGTACTGCAATAGTTTTCGGTTCTGAAATCATATAGATAGTAGTATTGAAAACTAATAAGATTAATTGTAACAAATGTACCATCTTATATAAAATGTTGATAATAGAGGAAACTGGATGTGAACTCTTGGTATCTTCTCAACTTTTCTGTTAATCTAAAATTGTTCTTAAAAAAAATAAAGTCTTCTAAAAAAGAAACTAACAGGAACGAAACTCCTTTTTGTTTTATTCAGTGTCCTTGTTCTAAGATTGTTTCCATTATCTGTAAGATGTAAGTACTCAGAGGTAAAGCAAATATTAAAATATTCCTGTAATATTTTCCTTGAAAATATCCTATTACTTAACTATTTGAACCATTTCTGGATCTTAGTCCAGATGCCCATTTAATATTTGGTTTATTAGTACCTAACAAGAATAGTACAATGTAGATTTTTATTTCTTCTGTAAGGCAAAAACACATAGAAAATTTCGTGCTCCCTATTATCTCTAATAAGGTTAAACCATATCAAAAATTTAAGATTTTAAATTTAAGAGTGAGACTTAATTTATATTTTACAATTAACTAAGTATTTTCTAAAGCTAAGGACTAATAAATAGCAGGTCTTTGAGACTTTTATTATATATAAGATACAATAAAAATGTGTACATTTTTACAACAGCTGATAATGTGAAATATTATCTTAACTTGAACTGGCTTTTAAAATATTATTTAAAAACTATTTATGCTTATTACCTTAACTTTATTCTTTTAGCTGTTTTACACTTTAACATTAAAAATTTTTTTTTACCCCATTGAAGCCTGTAACAAGTATATTCTAGTTGCTGCAACCTAACACAGTGCTGAGAAATACTGATGCTTAGTCTATTTCTATGACTACTTTGATGACATTTTCTGAGTTTAATTTTTTCACTATGCAGCTATCTTTCAGAGACTGGCATATTGATTTTTCTAATTAATATTCTATGTATCTGAGACAGTATTTTTATTTTCTATTTCCCAAGAAGGGAACAGCACATCCACTCTAAGTGATGTGCGGTTATGTTATCTTATAAATGCTCAAGGTACAGCTTCTAATGTTGAAAAATAGAAAAATAAATTGACCTTGATGAAGTGTGTCTTCTTTTGTCTGTTCCCAGGAAAGTTTATTTCAGGTATTTCTACTGCGGAAATGATTAGCGTTAACAGCCTTTCCCCTCCATTTTATTTTACAGGGTCTCTTCATCTTCCTGATATATGGGGTGTACCACACAGAGGTAAGTCGGCTTGGAGTATCTCAAGGCTGACAGAGTGAATGAGAGAAATGACAGGTTTCTTATCTTGATAACTGAGGAACAAAGTTGGCTTTTCATATGAGTGTCCCACTGCCCTTCATGCATGAACTAGCTTATATGCATCCAGCTTACCATTAAACACTGACACCCTGAATAAAGGGACAGCCTCATTTCTCACAGGCATTGACTAATATTTTACAACTGCCCTAAGTTTTTGAATTTTCAGTCTTTCTTTTAACACTTCACCATACTTGACAGTATTAAAGTTTCACAGTTTAAGTGGCAGAATGCCTATACGTAGTTGCATGGAGTTAGAAAAATACTAATATTTCTTATCTCAAAATGCTCGTTAAATATTGTCCTTCTTTTGAGCAGGCTCAGAGAGGCCTATAAGGATTCGTTAATAACCTTTATGGTTTCAATTGTGAAATTTCTCAGAAAAGCCATTTATTATTTAATTATGAGAAGTTATTTAGCTAGAAATATTGTGAGAAAATTGACTTATTTCATTAAGAAAATGTACTATGTAAATAAATTATTGTCACAGTTCTAGCTCTTTCATGAAGAAATGTCTGTGATTTATAGATACTCTTTGTGATAGTTGCTGGTTTAGATTTTTCCATGCCTAACAGGAAAGTGAGTGCCTTGTGTACATTACACACTCAATAAATATTTGATTTTTGTTGCTCTAACTTTGATTTCAAGGTTGTACTGTGTAATTTTCCCTTAAGAGAAAAACTGGTAACTCTGCACGCGTTTCTCAGTAGGTAGTCTTACTAGGGGAGGGCAGAGTGGATCCTAGCATAGATCCCAGAAGGGCCTGGTGGTCAATTTCTCAAAAATAACACGAGAGGCCAGGCGGCAATACAACGTGGCAAACAGCCTCATTAGCCAGCCTGAGCAGGTATGTGGGCATTTAAGTAACATCTGATGATGATGAAGCCTGTGTGTGGGCGTGTTTTACAGGGCTGCCGCACCTGGATTACACGCGCTTTCCTTTTCCAGTAGCCTTCAGGTAGGTTGGCAGCAACACAACTTTTTTTTTTTTTTGCAACGGTACCTGTATTGCGGTTTCAAAGTAGGCTATTCCTATAAATGCCAAGGACACGTGCCCATTATGACAGTGTTTCCAACCTCAGAGGGATCCCAGCTGCAATCTGTTTTAAGAAACATTGAGCATTTGAAGCTTAAGGCTTTTAGGCAGAATCCAAAGCGCCCCCAGTCACCCGCTTCTGGGTCCGGATTTTGACTCAACACCCGGACTGCACACCGCAAAGCCGAGCAAGCCGCCCCCGCACCCCGCCCCTGCCCAGGCCTCAGTTTCCCCATCTCTCCCTCCAGCCCCTTTCCCCGCAGCACTGCCCCGCGTGTCCACCCGCCGGCGCGGGGCGGGAGGGTGGGGTTCCGCCACCGGAGCGCCTCACCCACGTCCCCCCTCCTTGGGCGCGGCCCACCAATCGTGGAAGCCTCTCTCCCCGTGGCGGTGGGTGGGGGCTTCCGAGGCCCCGCCCCTCGAGCCCGGGGCCGCCCCTCCGCCCAACCGCCCGGGTGATTGACAGGCGGGCCGGGCGGAAGCTGCGGCGCAGGCGCGCCGGCCCCGCCGAGCTCCCCTCCGGCCCGGGCCGGGGAGTTCCCGGCAGGCTCCGCGCCGCGCCTGCGCAGTGCGGGGGAGGCTTTTAATTCCATTGTGGAGAGGACGGCGTTATTTTTATTAACCGGAGGCGGCGGCGGCGGCGGCGGCGGCGGCGGCGGCGGCGGCGGGACCGTAAGTGGGGCGGCCAGCGGGGCGGGCCTTGGGCGCGGGGGGCGGGCGGCGGCGGCGGCGGCGGGCGGGGGTCCGGCCGGGTCCCACGGCCTGCTCTCCCCTCTCCCTCAGCCAGGCCTCGTCCGGGGCATGAAAGTCGGCGGCGGGCTCCTGAGCGGCGGCGGCGGCGGCGGCGGCGGCGGCAGCGGGCCCGGCGGGCGGGCGGAGATGGAGCCCTCGTTCCCCCCGGGCATGGTCCTGTTCAACCACCGGTTGCCCCCGGTCACCAGCTTCACCCGGCCGGCGGCGGCCGCCCCCCCGGCGCCGTGCGTGCTGCCCCCCGCGGCCCCGGCCGCCGAGCCCCCCCCGCCGGCCCCGGACATGACTTTCAAGAAGGAGCCGGCGGCGTCGGCGGCCTTCCCGACGCAGAGGACCTCCTGGGGCTTCCTGCAGTCGCTGGTGAGCATCAAGCAGGAGAAACCCGCCGAGCCCGACGAGCCGCAGCCGCAGCCCCACCACCACCACCACTACGGGGGGCTCTTCGCCGCCGGGGCCGAGGAGCGACCCCCGGGGCTGGGCGGCGGCGACGGGGGCGGCCACGGCGTCATCCAGGACCTCAGTATCCTCCACCAGCACGCCCAGCAGCAGCAGCCACAGCCCCCGCAGCAGCAGCAGCAGCCGCCGCAGCAGCCCGCCCAGCACCCCCGTGACGTGCTGCTGGGCGGCGGCGGCAGGACTGATGACCACCCCGGCCCCGAGGAGCCAAAGCAGGACACTCACGTCAAAAAGGCGAAGAGGCCAAAGCCGGAATCTCAGGGAATCAAAGCCAAGAGGAAGCCCAGCGCATCTTCCAAACCTTCTCTGGTCGGAGACGGAGACGGGGCCATCCTCTCCCCAAGTCAGAAACCTCACATCTGCGACCACTGCAGCGCCGCTTTCCGAAGCTCCTACCACCTGCGGAGGCACGTCCTCATCCACACCGGGGAAAGGCCCTTCCAGTGCAGCCAGTGCAGCATGGGCTTCATCCAGAAGTACCTGCTGCAGAGACACGAGAAGATCCACAGCCGGGAGAAGCCCTTCGGGTGCGATCAGTGCAGCATGAAGTTCATCCAGAAGTACCACATGGAGAGACACAAGAGGACGCACAGTGGAGAAAAGCCATATAAATGTGACACTTGCCAACAGTATTTTTCAAGGACGGACAGACTCTTGAAACACAGGCGCACGTGTGGTGAAGCCATAGCGAAAGGAGCCGCTAGTGCAGAACCTGGGTCAGCAAACCATAACAACATGGGTAACCTGGCTGCGTTGTCTCAGGGAAATACAAGTTCCTCAAGGAGGAAAACGAAGTCGAAGAGCATAGCGATGGAGAATAAGGAACACAAGGCGGGGAAAACAAATGAATCACAAATTTCCAATAACATCAACCTGCAGAGTTACTCTGTAGAGATGCCCACCGCCTCTTCCAGCGGGGGCATAATTGGCACTGGGATAGATGAACTACAGAAAAGGGTGCCAAAACTGATCTTTAAGAAAGGAAGCAGAAAGAATACAGACAAAAACTACCTGAATTTTGTGTCGCCGTTGCCAGACATCGTTGGACAGAAGTCCTTGTCTGGGAAACCAGGTGGTTCCCTTGGCATAGTGTCGAATAATAGTGTGGAGACCATTAGTCTTCTGCAGAGTGCAAGTGGAAAACAAGGTCAAATAGGTAGTAATTATGATGACGCCATGCAGTTTTCAAAGAAAAGAAGATACTTACCAACTGCCAGCAGCAACAGTGCCTTTTCTATAAACGTGGGACACATGGTCTCCCAGCCGTCCGTCATTCAGTCTGCAGGTGTCAGTGTTTTGGACAATGAGGCCCCATTGTCACTTATTGACTCCTCAGCTCTAAGTGCTGACATTAAGTCTTGTCACGACAAGTCTGGGATTCCCGATGAGGTTTTACAGAGTATTTTGGATCAGTACTCCAACAAATCAGAAAGCCAGAAAGAGGATCCTTTCAGTATAACGGAACCTCGAGTGGATTTACACACCTCAGGAGAACACTCAGAACTGGTTCAGGAGGAAAATTTGAGCCCAGGCACCCAAACGCCTTCGAGTGAGAAGGCGAGTATGTTGCAAGAATACTCCAAATACCTCCAGCAGGCTTTTGAAAAATCCACTAATGCAGGTTTTACTCTTGGACACGGTTTCCAGTTTGTCAGTTTGTCTTCACCTCTCCACAACCACACTTTATTTCCAGAAAAACAGATATACACTACATCTCCTTTGGAGTGTGGTTTCGGCCAATCCGTTACCTCAGTGTTGCCGTCTTCCTTGCCAAAGCCTCCTTTTGGGATGTTGTTTGGATCTCAGCCAGGTCTTTATTTATCTGCTCTGGATGCCACACATCAGCAGTTGACACCTTCCCAGGAGCTGGATGATCTAATAGAGTCTCAGAAGAATTTAGAGACTTCGTCAGCCTTCCAGTCCTCATCTCAGAAATTGACTAGCCAGAAGGAACAACAGAAAAACCTAGAGTCCTCCACAAGCTTTCAGATGCCATCTCAGGAGTTAGCTAGCCAGATAGATCCTCAGAAAGACATAGAGCCTAGAACAACGTACCAGATTGAGAACTTTGCACAGGCGTTTGGTTCTCAGTTTAAGTCGGGCAGCAGGGTGCCAATGACCTTTATCACTAACTCGAATGGAGAAGTGGACCATAGAGTAAGGACTTCAGTCTCAGATTTCTCAGGGTATACAAACATGATGTCTGATGTGAGTGAGCCATGTAGTACAAGAGTAAAGACACCCACCAGCCAGAGTTACAGGTAAGGTCCCCAGAGTGACCAGGCTGGAGGTCTTCTAACGTAATTTTGTTTTATTTTGAGAACACTGCCATTGGAATGTTTCTACACGATCCTATTAAGAATAATGTAATGCCCTTTCAATGCAACTTTTCATATTTAGTTTATTTTGTTAGCGTGATTTTAGCTCTGTTTGTATTATGATTTTTAATCAAAATCAATAGATTAAAAATAGTTTGACATTCAAAGTGACAATGTTTAGCAATCAAATTTACATGTATAGATCGTCAGGGACTAGCCCAAAAGTTAAATGCAAAAAAAAAAACAAAACAAAAAAACCCTACAAAAAAACAAAACAAGAAAAACACAAAAAAAACTTTGTTGCTAGGATTAAGGTTATTCTAATTGCTTTACTCTCAGGAAAGTGTAATAACGCATGGGAATTCTGTACGTTATCACTGTAATGGAATATCCAATTTACAGATAGTATGGTATACATTTCATCATTTAAGTAAGGGATCGAAAACATTTCAAATTGCTGTCTCCATCTGGGCTGATCCAAAATTCTGAGATGTTGGCTACCTATATTTTGTTGCAGCTTTTAAATGTACTCTGAACTTCCAAACCACATTCATTCCAGCCTGGTAGAACAAATATTCTTGGATCTTTGATCAAAGCCTGGAATGATAGCTTTAATAGAAGAAGAAGAAAAAGCACCCTCTCCTTATCCCAACTGTAACAAGGCTCTACTTCCATTAAGATCTACTGACATCCAGCACAGTGTTGAAGCCCACGTGGTTGGTTGGTTCCAGTGTTAGAACCCGAGTTGGAATTACATGATTCTTCGAAATTTGGGGTATGCGGTATTTATTATACATGGCCTAAAACATCCTGCTCTTGTCTGTGCTATTACTTATCACCCACACTTCTGTTTTTTTTTTTTTTTTTTTATTCTTACTCTTAACCTGTCCTTTCTTAGAGTTCTGGGCCTGCCTTGTTTCCTCTTCTCCCCATCTTGACAGTTTCAATCTTAGAATGATTTACATTCCAATAGATAATTCATTATGCATTTTATATGCCTTACGGCCTCCAAATACTAAACAATAGGGTAAACATCCCCTCTACCTTTTCTAAAAACAAAACCTGTGCAGATTTCCATGTATAATAAAACCCCACATACTCAGAGCTGTAGATATCATATCAGTAAGGTGGTAATTTCAACTGGTGACATAGCTAGTGTGAGGGATCGTGGTAGTGACGTCAGAACCTCTTTGTGAAATGGCAGCCTTTAATGTACATTTTAGAAGGGTGCATTAGTCAGTATTGTACAGGGGTCTTGTAAAGTCATCAAAACTTGCTATGAACGCTAATTGCCATTTGAAGCTACTGGTAGACAGTGGCTCTGCTCTAAACCACTTTTTAGCAATTGTATTTTTTTCCTGATTATATTTTTTAATGTACTTTGATGTTTATGCTGATGAGTTTTTTATGTACTTTTGGTGATGTTTCAGTCTTATGTACTCTTCTGACGTCAGAAAAGTACCACTGGTTGTTTGCAGTCTTATTGTGTAATCAGCCTACACAGGCTTCCATGTATAATAAAGTAATTAATATTGTGCAAGTGTAAAACACTTCTTTTATGAAAGCAGTGTTTGGAAAATAAGAAATTATTAAAAATGGTTACAAAATACTAGTTAATTTCCTCTCCCCGCTTTCCCCCCTTAAGTCTGCTTTACCAGCTAAAGGGTCACCTATTTGTCATTGCAGGATTCTTAGAAAATGTGTTTAATTCTCCTAAATACGCTCAGTACTAAAAAGTCTGTATTTCTTACCTCGGTAAGTGCGGTAAGTTCTATCGGGTACAGAGTACAAGCTGTAATGGAAGGATGGAGAGGACCTTTACCACTGTATCTCTTCAGCTGTATGACTTTTCTCCAGTGTTTTGTTTTCTACAGGTTTTGAATTTTCTTTAACTTTTATTGTGTGTACTGAATACTGCATATGTATTATTCTGATTGTTTGCTCTAGTTTACTACCAATAAAAGACCTGTTAATCACAAAATTGAAGAAAGGAGATATCACTTAATATGAAGTCACATTTTTCAGATTTTTCTATTAACTACAGTTCATAAAATATTCACATCAGTGGTATAACCTGCAGTTTAGGGACTTGTATTTTTATTGTATTTTTTTTAACTTAAGTATTTCATGTTTCTAGGTTTATTTTATTTGAAAATTGGTTCAATATTTGTGTTTGTGGCGCACTATATGGAAGAAGAGAAATTTAATGTGTAAATTAAGAACATGTTTTGTTGAAATTGGGTTAGCCATCCTAAATATTATTCCAGAGAGAGTATTTATTGAGGCTTCATTTTAAATCAGTTTCCAATGTCTTTTGGTTCTAGGTGCATCCTTTTTGCCTCAAAAAAGGTTGTAATAAAATAACAGTATGCCACAAATAAAAATGGTCTTGAGCATTTTTAGTAGGAAAGAAGTATCGTGAAACCGTAGTTAATGTTAAAAGAAGGTTAGAAGCGTAGATATTAGAAGGAAAGAGCTAAGAACGTGTAAATGTTGAAGATGCGGAACACATGTTTCAACATTAGTATGTATGTTCAGTTTTAAAGATGCGGGAGAAGAGATTGTAGATGTCTGTAAAATCATGAGAAAACTGCTTTGAAATTGAGTGGTTACAAATGTTGAGGAATTAGGAGTAAAAATATTAAAGGGAAGAATAGGCCCCTTTGCCTTTTTCATACATGATACTGTTGTAGGGAAATGATAAATTATTTTAAGCTAAACATGGCTTTCTATGTGGAGAAATACCTACTTGTGGGCCCGTAAGATTAGGAAAAAGTAAATTAGCTTTCTCTTTGCCAAGGTTATTCTCTAGATTTGGTCATTTTCTTGAACAAGTGTGCTCAGCAGAATCTCACCCATTCTGCGTTGATGCCCACCTGGAGCTCTGCACAGATGCATTCTCTGCTCTACATTAACCCTGTCATTTTAACTTTTTCCCACCCACTCCTTTTTTTTTTCCTTCTGTGGAATGTTTGTATCTAAATATCATTTTAAAGTTAAGGTTTCTACTTTGAAGGTGTTAGAGGAGAAAGTAGGAAACTGGGCTTTGCATTTCTGTTGTGCTGCTGTCAATTCAGGGTAAGGGCCACCATAGTTTAGCAGTTGCTGGTCAGTAATTTGTGAAGAAATTCAATAATGAGAAGAGAAAAATGTGAAAAAAAATCTGTGCTTAAAATCTTTTAATGTTTTTTGGAAATTGCAAACGTTAATACAAATATTTCTACCTCAAATTTAGGTTTTTTGCATTACACTAATCAGATGAGAGAGACAGGAATTTTTGTTCATTCCTGGTATCTGACATTTTGTAGTTATTTGCCATGAGTAGCATTTAAGCCTGAACTGGGTGACAGTTTGAGCAATATGGCCTTGTGAGGACACACGTCATCCTTAGCTTCCAAATTCATAGGTTCTTATTAAACTGAAGAACTTCCCTAAAAAAAAATTAGCTTCTGAACTTCAAAGTTATATTTTTAGAGTAGACTACATCTGAAGACTATCATTTTCTGAGTTTTATGGTCTTCGTGTCTTCTACGATACTGAATGACAGGCTCTCATTTTTAAAATGTCATGGAAGATTCCTTTGTTAGTGCTCTGATAGGATCCAGGCGTCACGCTGCCTGAGGCCATGTCAGCTGTGGTCCATGCGTATTTCTGTTACAGGGTCCCTCCTGCTGGTCAAGAGGAGAGAGCTGTGGTGGTGTGCTGGGCTGCTTGTACCCTCTGAGATGATGGAGAGTTCCTGATAGATGTTGAGGAAAAAATGTTCTCTTACTTCCAGTTGTTACATTTTTTATGTCCTTATAATTTATCGCTTGAAATGAACATGAGCATGAAGACCACATCTGGGAATTTTGTTGTCTTAACTCTGGATCAAAAAAATCCTCTGTGAGATTATAGTTAGTTTTAAAAGAGATTGTTCCCATAAAGAGGGCATATGCTTTTAAAATTACTTTTGCTTTCTTTGTACCTATTTTGCTTTTTAAAAAAGTATTTACTGTATGTGACTAACTTAAGTAGATTTTACTTAAATTCTTGATGAACCTTTGGCTCACTCTAGGGAAGAAGTGCACAACATTTTTAGGGTCCGAGACTCTGTGGGCAGCTGATGATAGAATTGGTGCCTCCCTACTCCCATACATTAGCAGAAATAGGTTTGCATGCGAAAATTTACAAGCCAATCTAGATGCTCACAGGAACCCTCCCTAAAAAGTTCTTAACCTTTGCACCCCAAGTTAAGAATCCCAGCCTTAGAAGACTGCCTAAATATTGAAATTTTGTTATACAAATAAATTAGTCAATACCTAAACTAGAAAAGCTTCAACTGGTAGGGTCCTTTACAGTTTCTTTATCTGCAATTCAATCAATTACTTAGCATTTATGGAATACATTTAGGTTACGTAAACCCATAGAGTTTTATGATAAGCTGGTCAGATAGTGAGCTGAATAGAATTTAGAGTTGTTTGCACAGTTTCTTATTTGACAACAAGGCCCGTAGAGATGCTAGACTTGACAATAGTTCAGTATTTTCCGTGAACAAAGAAGTGTGTGAAGAGTGTGTAGTGACTACAGTCAACCACTGCGGTTGTTTACACAGAACTTGCTTACGTATCTTGGCAAAAATGAAAGCCCGCACCGTTTTACCTGAAAGGAATAGTGTTGAGTTCTGAAGAACATGAAGACTACTTCATGCAGCCTGCGTGTGACTAGCTAGGTTGAAACGTTCTGTGCAAGATAAGCCTTGTAAAGCATGTTATATGTTGAAGTAGGTTGTCTCTCGGGAAATGGAGATCAATAGCTGGAGGAGATTGTTTGTAAAGATCTGGACGTTATGCTCCAAAGGGGAAAGTGTGTTCCCTGTGTTTGTGGGGAATCAAAGAAGAATGGGCAGAGGTTGTCGTGAAGGGAGGTAAGGGATATCTTAGAATGGAGAAGAAAAGGAATAGGTTTTGAAGGAAAATAGGAAATACGAATTTACTCGGATATTGACGGGAGTCCCTGGAAAATTTAAGTAACTAGAAGAGATCTGTGATTGGAAAACTCTGTTCTTATTTTGTCATTCTTTTAGTTCAGACTTCTTTTGGTACTTTGGTTTGATGTGAACTTTAGTACTATTGTGGAACAATTAATAAATAACTCTTAACAGACAACTGTGGTGAGCTTCTGTTTACATTCCCAATCTAGGAAAAAGGTGGCTAATCTTTGTGTTTATATATTAAATCTTTTCTTTAGTAACTCATAAAATCACACAGCTTCCATTGGTTGGTGAGAATTTCAAATAAATTTTCTTACCAAAACAATTGCAGTCAAAATTACTGTCATATGTGATTAAGTGATTGCACAGAATTTAGGAATTCAGACAAAAACCACATCCCCAACCCTCCAAAAAAAGAAATTTACAAGTGCAGTGTATAAAGGCAAATTGTGTTAGGACAAAGGAAAAGTGTGAGTGATTGTAAAAAGTTGGAAACTCCCTAATTAATATTAGTTTTTAAGTTTACTTTGGAAAGTATTGTTTAATTTTAACTTGTGACTGGCTTATTTGTTCGTTCTACTTTAAGTAAGAATATTGTTTTATAAGCATTTTCTGTTGTAAAGTTGGTCTGAACTGGGAGCTAAAGTTTTAACCTTGCGTTTTGGGGTAAATACAGCTTTTTAAGTCTGGAAGGACATTTTTAGATTAATTTTCAGAGCAGATTGCAAAACTGAATGACAAGGTCAGCACCATGACTGTTTGATGTCTGGTTGCGCATAAGCGAGGCTCTTGCTGTGAGGAAGCCAAGTGCAGACGTGAGAGAGAGTTCTCCTTTCTGGAGGAGAATGAGAACTGTCAGTGGGTGTCATTGTGGGTCTCCGCGAATAGATACCCATGACCTTGATCACTTCAGCGGTGGAACTGGGAACATCCTTTCTGAGGCTGCAGTTTCTTACTTCGTGGCCCCGAACAACTAAAGTGCTTAGCAGAGATTATGAAGCAGACTGGACGAGACCTAGAGTTTTCCTCTTGCAAATGGATAAGGTACCGGAAGGGAAATTACTATGAAAACGTTTGCATTTCATAGACCCAATATGTAAATTTTACTCAGTCATAAGCACAGCATTAGAAAACCGAGCAAAGTTCATAGCACTGCATAAAGGCATTAAAACGTTTTTAAAAATCGACCTTGCACTACTTTCCACTGTTAGAAGTAGCCTTTCAATGAACATCTTAAAATTACGTTAATATTGTTAGGGATTATGTTTGTAAGGCAAGTTGCTGTGGAATTTTATTCCTTTGGATTTGGGAGACAATGCTGCAGAAGTTCCAAACGTTTAATTTTTTTTTTTATGAAGTCTGCTAAGATATTGTAGATATTTCTATACTTAGTCACATTCGGAATAGTTAGCTGTGTATTGTTTTATGAGTGTTTATGTCAGTAATTTAGCTGATCTCTTAGTGGTTTAGTTTAGAAAATCTGCAACAGTAATCTGAAACCATTACTCTTAACTTTTTAAATTGCCTCATTTTTACTAAGGAAAAGATTAGGTTGTGACTAGACTTAGCCTAGTTTGTTCAGGATTTATTTGAATATGATAAGCTATGAATGTCGAACTTAGTGTAGAAAACAGAGTATTAAAGTTGTTGTGACAGGTTTGTGTTGGAAAGGGAAGGAAGGACTGTTGTGTAAGGAGAGTGGGAAGGGGTCTGAGGAGGTTGATGTCAATGGACTTGTTTCCCACGGCCACGCAGCTACCAGACCTTCCAGATTTCAACTAGAAGTGTTTGGAGGACTCGTCACGTCCCCATGAACTGTCAGGGTTCCTGCCGGGGAATCCCAGGAGTGTGGTGTGAAGCCAAGATTCAAATGTGATCTGGGGAGATTTCTAGGGAAGACTGGTAGAATGAATAGAAAACTACAGGTTTTCATTTCGTTCCCTCTTTGATTTTGTTAACCCTCTGAAACAAATTGATGTTTGGCAAGGAGAGAAAGGTGGTATCGATGATTGATAGAATGGTATTTTTGCCGATAATGCTAGTGTGTGTGACCCATAAAAGGAGACAAGGTGGTACTACTTGGGAAAAGATGGGCGAAAATGGAGTGCCTTGCATAATAGTATATTTCTAATAAGTACATTTAAATTTTCTGTCTTGAAACTTGAGATTTTGAATTACTGTCATTCAGTATGGGTAAACATCTTAATTTGGAAAAAATAGTATCACAAACAACTAGTTTGTAATACAAGATAAAAGAACATTTTCATTCTCAGCTAAATATTAAGTAGTAAAGAAAGATTTATAAGGGGGAACATTTTTTTTGCTTTTAAATCCTGTCTCTTCATTTATGTATGTAATTTAAAGCTTATACAACATGTAAGTAAAATGTTTTAGAATTGGATGTATGATTATGAGAGAATTTCAAGGCTTCCCATAGCATTTAACGATGGAAATTATTTTTCTGATTTCCAAACCCAAAATAAATAATATGCATTTTATGATTTAATAAGAAATGATCACTCTAGATTATATTTAGTCATTCACCCAGCTGAACCAGTACTCCATCTGGAACTAAAATACAAAAACATCTTGAACAGCCTGAAAGTACTGTTTGTTAAAAATGTTCAGTACTGAAATATCAGTTGGAATTTTGGCAGCTGAATGTGAGAGCAGAAATGCAAAATATTTGTAGAATTGCCTTTCATATTTCAGTCAGTGATTTTGTTTACAAACCATGTACAAATAATTATTTGGATGGTCATATTTATTCTCACCACCTCCCTGCCCCCATGTACTTGCTTTGTAATAAAATATTCAGAATACAAATTACTGGGGCTGAATATACTAAAAAAAAGTTATATTTTCCGATGGAATACTAGCAAGAGCAGATGGTGGGGACATTGGTCAGCAATAAATAAGATTAATGTGTTTGGAGCTATTAAGATTGTGAAGAGAAAGGAAAGAAGTTTAGCCTATCAGTAGGAAGCAAGCCACTGCCTGAACCTGAATTGACTTGGGTTTTGAAAAGCTTATTTCTGGTAAACATGCCAAAAAATTGAGCTTCAGAGAACAGAGATTATTTGTGAAATTCTTTATTCGTGTAAGGTTTAAGGTATATCCAGTTTCTCCCTGTGATTTGAGAATACCCACTTCATATCTTTTAGGAGGCTTTTAAGTAAGTGTTGGACATCAGCAGTAGTTTGAGTTTTTAATAAAATTTAAGTCAAAGATGTTTTTTTGAGGAAAGCTGAAATTTTTCACTTGATAAAATTACGATGCATTTTTCCTAGAAATGTCAAGGTGAAAAATCAATACTTCAAAGATACTGAGTAAAAATTTACATTGTGAACACGTGAATGAATTATCCTTTAAAAAATGATCACTATAGTGCATTTGAGTAGAAGAGGACAAAGAAATCATAAACTTAGTTTAGCTTTGGAAATGGATGTCTTAAAAATTCTGTTGTTCCCTTCTGCCATTTGTTCTATGAAGCCATTAGTGAAACCTATTAACTTATTAATTTATAAATGAATTTGTTTTAGTTATATTTTTTCTTGTATAAAGTGTCACTTGATTTTAAATTAGGAATAAAAAGAGGTGTTTTGATAATTTTATAGTTGTAATTTGCTGATTTGATTTAAAACTGCCTTTTGTGATAAAAATAAATGGAGCATTTTACTGTTACCAGGGGCTCTCATAAGTAAACATAATTTTTAAGTTGGAAATGACGATGCTCAGTGCTCCTCTTCATTTTGGTCCTGATTACGTTATTATCCAAGTCGAAACTGGAGGGTCAATTGGCTGGTCTTGAACTTGGAATACATACGGATTCTCTCCTCCATTTAGCTACATTTTTTTTTAAGATGAGGGGTTGCATTTGTTTATTCTATCTCTTTAGCCTCTTTTTTGTTGTTGTGGCTGTGGTGGTGGTTCTTTTTGGAGGAAGACTGGCCCTGAGCTCACATCTGTGCCCATCTTCCTCTACTTTATATGTGGGACGCCTGCCACAGCACGGCTTGATAAGCGATATGTAGGTCTGCACCTGGGATCTGAACTGGCGAACCCCGGGCCGCCAAAGTGGAACGTGTGAACTTAACCGCTGCACCACCGGGCCGGCCCCTCCACTTAGCTACTTTTAATCTCGTAATTTTCAGCTGCTCCTGTTCTACCAACTACTAAATTCAGAGGTTGTGTATGTGCTGCATTGTATTAAGTAATGTTACAGCAGAATAACTGGAAAAGAGAGCTTTTGCTAATCTATTATTAAAATCAGACACATTAGTCATTAGTATTTTGTATTACTTAAGTGGCAATCAGAAATGAAGCTGAATGTATTTTTTAATATTACACATTGCAGTATGTTACTTCCCAAAGAAGACCAAAAGGTATATAAATGATCATTGCATTATGGAAAAGGTGCCATGTGAATATGAGATTATTTAGTACTGGGATTTGCAGATTGTTAATTCCATGAGGTATTCCATGCCTCTTACCAGCCTGAGGACTGAGAGGGCAGCAGCACAGAGAAGTGTGGCAGGTCCTCTTCGTTAGCAAATAACTCGTCCAGTTAGTCCTCTCGGCCCTGACTCTCCTCTCAGTGCAGAGCTGTTTTAGATGCTGCCCAAATGCACTCTCTGATTGTGTGGGGCTGGCTATGTGAGGTGGGCCAGCAACACCGACATCACCTAGGAGCGTGTTAGACACCGGAGTCTCAGCCCCCAGGCTCACTGAATCAGAGTCTGAATTTTAGCAAGAGCCTCCAGGAACGTTACACCTTGAGAAGCACCGTCCTAAAGCTTTGGCCTGTGCTGTGGCACTTTCTCCTGAGCCTTCTTGTCTCATCGCTAATCAAGATCCATCTGAGTCCCCCACGTCGTTACTTCAGATTTCACCATTTAGTTTTTCTTTTTTGTTCACTTTTCTTATTATTGAAATTTAATTGATGTATAACCCTGTGTTTGTTTTAGGTGTACAACATGATGATTTGGTGTATGTATATACTGTGAAATGATCACTACAATAAGTCGGGTTGACACCCATCACCACACATAGTTATAATCTCTCGTTTAGTTTTTTAAAATCAATCCACTGAGCAAAGTCTGGGTGCCCACTACATGGCAGGCACTATGCTAGGTGACAGGGGTGAAAAGAAAACAGAATTAAACATCTTTAAAT